ATCATCTTTGGTAAAGTGGAAAGTCAGAGAAAAAGAAGACCCCCAATGAGATGGATTGGCACAATGGCAGCAGCAGCAGCTTCAAATATAACAATGATTGTGAGGTTGCCCCAGAACTGGGCAGTTGTGCATTGTTGTGTGACTCATCACTATCTATGAGTCAGTACCGATTCAATGGCACCTAACAACAACACTTATCTTCTCTCACTGGGTGTTCTCCCCATCTCCTTTCTTCCTTTTATTTTGTCTTATTATTTTCTTTTAAAGCTCCATTTCCCTGTTTCTCTTATGTTGTCTTTATATTCTTTTTTTCTGGTTGCTACCTGTTTATGTTTTTCTCTTTTCATTTGTTTCCTTGTTTATTGTTTTCTCCTGAGTGTGTGTGTGTATGTGGGGGAAGTTTTTTGCTTTCCCACCTAATAGGAGACAGCAACCAATATCAAACAGCATAGCCACAACTGCACCCTGTACAACTCCACCCACTGGGCAAGAGCCAATACCAGCTTCTTTGCCACCTGATCAATGACAGCAGCCATGCTAAACTGAGGCACATGAATGGAAAACAAGGATGGAGTACACACTTCCATTCTCTATAATTACACCCACAGGAGACAGTTGGTGAGAGCCTAAGAACACATCAATGTATAATCATCAATTAAATACAAAGTGAACCCCACAATGCTCCAGAGACAACAGACACTTTTAACATGAAGAAAAAAGAATATGGCTCAAATGAATGAAAAGCAGAGGCAGAAAAGGTAATTGAATTCACTGAAAAAGCACTCAAAGGAAAGATATTTAGATACCTTCAAAGGATTGACAAAGATTGAGGTAAACAAAAAATTTTAGAAGAATTTTTTTAAAATTAAGGACAAAATAAATGCCAATTTTGAAATAATACAAAACCTGCAATTAGAAATCCAGAAAATTAGTACTAAGATTTCAGAAATAGACAATATATTGAAAGGGCAAAGGAACAAATTTGAGGCAATAGAAGCCTGAATTAGCTTGAAGATAAAATTTATCAATAGTATGCTAGAAAAAAAATAACAAAAAAAAGGAACAAAGTCTTAAGACTTTGGGATACCACGAATAGGAACAACTTATGGGTAATGGGAATTCCAGAACGGAAGAGATAAAAAGCACAGAGGAAATGTTGTAGCGTTGTTGGAAGATTTCACTAGCATCATGAAAGATGAGCAGATAGACGTGCAAGAAGCTGAATGAACCCCAAACAGGAGATATCCCAAAAGAAAAGAAAATCTCCACAACATATCATAATCAAACTTTGCAAAACCAAAGACAAGGAACACATCCTGAGAGCAGCTTGGCAAAAACAAAAAAGTTACCTAACAAAGGAGAACCAGTAAGAGAAATAAATCTGTGCTGTCTCAGAAGTCATGCAGGCAAGAAGGCAATGGAATGAAAAAAAAAAAAAAATATTATAGTGCCTCTCTTTTTAGTTATTGTAACTAAGCTTTAAAAAGTCAGAATCAGTATCATTACAGAATACTAATAGAACCAAAAGCCATGAGATTTTTTCTTTCTTTTTTTAATGTTTTGTTGTGAATTATGTGATAGTTTACATGGGAGAACATTAGCTTCACATTGATCCCATCGTATATCGTTTCCTTGCCATGGTTACAATCCCCTCCATTCATTATCCTTTAACCAAAGTGTATACCCTGCAAGACTGCCCCCCAGTGGTCAGCACACATCTCCTCTCCCTCTCTGTGTCCCCAGCGCTCCATCTCCCCACATCATCGTCTCTGCCTCCATCTCTGGTGTCACTGCTTCTCTGAGTAG